AATAGCAAGGTTGGTACTTCTACATCTAAGAATTCACAACCACAACAAGAGGAAGGAAAAGATCACGGGAAGGGAGCTTCATCCTCCTTCAAGTGTTTTAGATGTGGGGAAGCGGGACAAAGATCTTATGAATGTCCAAAAAAGAAGGCTGAATTGCAACTAATGGAAGAGGAACAAGAAGAGAAGAAAGAACCAGTTTATGATTATGAACCAGAAGGTCTTGAAGAGTAGCTTTGCGATCCAAATTTTGATGCTGAAAGCCTTGTTATCCGATGTTTCATGATAGCGCAAGAGGCTGATCAGTGACTGAAGCATAATATTTTCAGAATCTATTGCAACTCTTATGAAGTGTGTTTTAATGATTGATTCTGGAAGCTGTGAGAACATGGTGTCACAAATCATGATTGACAAGTTGCAGCTAGCTAGTGAGCATCATCCAAAGCCATACAAAGTATCCTGGCTCAAGAAAGGAGGAGAGGTCATGGTCAATCAGCGAAGTCGCATCAAATTTTCTATTGGCAAGTATGAAGATGAAATTTATTTTGATGTTCTTCCCATGGATGTTTGTCATTTACTCCTTGGCAGACCGTGACAATTTGAAAGGTATGTTTAGCACGATGGAAGGAAAAAAACTTACACTTTGGTTAAAAATGGTGTGAAGTATGTGTTAAACCCATTGAAAGATGTTCCTACCATCGTACAGTCTACCAATTAAGTTAGTTTGCTGCCTTACAAAGAGTTCAAACAAACTTATAAAGAAGATGGGATAGCTTATGCTTTGATTGCTGTGGCAAATGTTCAAGGAGAAGTTCTTGAGGTTCCAGATGAGGTTGAGAAGTTGTTTCAAAGGTTCAAAGGCTTAGCTCCAGATGAACTTCCAGCTGGTTTACCCCCACTTCGAGACATCCAACACCAAATTGATTTTGTTCCAGCTGCAATCCTTCCTAATTTACCTCATTATCGTATGTCCCCTAGCAAACATGCTGAATGAAAAGACGAGTTGAGGACTTGTTGACAAAGGGACAGATTCGGGAGTCCCTTAGTCAATGTGCCGTTCCAGACCTTTTGGCTCCTAAAAAGGATGGAACTTGGAGGATGTGTGTCGATAGTAGAGTTGTTAATAAAATCACAATTAAATATAGGTTTCCCATTCCTCGGCTCGATGATATGCTTGATGAATTAGCTGGCTCTAAAACCTTCTACAAAATTGACCTTTGAAGTGGTTATCATCAAATCAGAATAAAAGAAGGTGATGAATGGAAAACAACATTTAAAACCAAAGATGAGCTTTATGAATGGCTTGTTATGCCATTTGGGTTGTCCAATGCCTTGAGTACTTTCATGAGGCTTATGACCCAAGTTTTAAAGCCATTTATGGGAAAATGTGTCGTGGTTTATTTTGATGACATTTTGATTTACAGCAGAGATAAGATTCAGCACTTGGAACATTTGGCTAATGTGTTTACAGTGCTCCATGATAATCAGCTATATGTCAATCTAAAAAAGTGCTCTTTCATGGCTTATCGCATTGTCTTTTTAGGTTATGTTGTGAGTGAAGAAAGCATACATATGGATGGCGAGAAGGTGCGAGCTATCCTCGATTGGCCAACTCCTAAAAGCCCTACTGATTTGAGGAGTTTTCATGGTTTGGCTTCATTCTACCGTCGTTTCATTAAGAATTTCAGTAACATTATAGCCCCAGTGCTTGATGTTTTGAAAGCAAGACTTCCAGTGGACTGAAAGAGCTGAAAATAGTTTTCAACAGTTAAAAACCAAACTTTCAGAAGTTCCTGTACATGCGCTACCAGATTTCTCCGAGGCATTTCAAGTGGAGTGATGCATCTAATGTTGGCATAGGTGCTGTCCTTATGCAAGAAGGGTGGCCAATTGCTTATTTTAGTGAGAAACTCAGTGATGCAAAGCTGAAGTATTCTACTTATATCAAAGAGTTATATGTTGTTGTTCAAGCCCTTTGACATTGGAAGCATTATCGGATTGGTGTGGAATTCATTCTCTATCGTGACCATGAAGCATTGAGATTTCTTAAGGGGCAAAGGAAACTAAATTCAAGACATGCTGGTTGCGTATCTTATTTGGAGAAATTCTCTTTTGTTCTTCAACACAAATCAGGTGTGCCCAACAAAGTAGCTGACGCATTAAGTCGGAAACACAGCCTATTGACTACTCTTTCTTGTGAAATCACTGGCTTTGATCTTTCGCATGAGAATTATGCTAGTGATCCTATCTTTTCCAAAGTGTTGACTGATTTGGAAAATGCAAAAGGAAGAGACTACACGCTGATGAATGGCTATCTTTTTAAAGGAAATCAACTATGCCTACTTGAAGGTTCACTAAGGCAGTTAGTTATGCAGGAGTTACATAGTGCTGGACTTGGTGGACATTTTGGGCGAGACAAAACTGAAGCTCTTGTTCGACAAAGGTATTTTTGGTCAAGCATAAAGCCCAATGTTGCTCGCTTTGTTCAAAGGTGCTTGGTTTGTCAGAAGGCCAAGGGAGGTGTCCAAAATATTGGTTTGTATCAGCCCCTACCCATTCCAAATGTATCTTGGGAGGACCTATCTATGGATTTTGTTCTTGGTTTGCCAAGAACACAATAGGGGTTTGATTGTATCTTCGTGGTGGTTGACCGATTCTCGAAGATGGCTCATTTCCTTCCTTGCAAGAATTTCACTGATGCCTCTCAAGTTGCTTTATTGTTTTTCAAAGAAATTGTCCGTTTGCATGGTGTTCCAAAGACAATCACATCTGATCGAGATGTCAAGTTTGTTAGCCATTTTTGGAGGACCTTGTGGAAGCTTTTGGGAACTCAATTACAATTCTCTAGTGCTTGCCATCCTCAAACAGATGGTTAAACAGAAGTTGTGAACAGGTCTCTTGGCAACTTGCCACGAAGTTTAGTAGGGGAACATCCTAAGCAGTGGGATCGAGTTATTTCACAAGCTGAGTTTGCCTACAACAGCTCCTTTAATCGCTCTACAAAGCAGACTCCATTTGAAATTGTTTATGGTAGAAATCCTAATCATGTGTTAGATCTCCTACCTCTACCAAATCAAGAAAGAGTTAGTATGGAAGCCGAAGAATTTGCTGCTCATATAAAGATGGTCCATGATCAAGTTCGAGAACAACTGAAGCAATCTTCTCAAAACTACAAATCCAACGCAGATATTCACAGAAGGAATACCGAATTTAAAGAAAGCGATCTTGTTATGGTATACTTGTGCAAAGAAAGGTTTCCTGCAGGTACATACAACAAGCTCAAACAAAGGAAATTCGGCCCTTGCTGAGTGCTAAAAACACTTGGACAGAACGCTTATCATATTGAGTTACCAAATGACTTAGCTATCAGTTCAACTTTCAATGTTAGTGACCTTTATCTTTACCATGGAGATGAGGGAAAAGTTGTTTTGAAGCAGGGAGATATCCAGATTAATCTTCCTAACCCTCAAAGAGAATCCATTGATGTATTGGATGTGGGATCTATTACTACTCGCTGTGGTACGGATACTCAGTTCTTAGTGCATTGGCAAGGAAAACCAAGTTCTGAAGATGTATGGATTTCTAGCGAAGAACTCAGAAAGTTGGATCAGATGCTTTGGAATGATTTGACTTCAAACTCGAGGACGAGCTCTTTTGAAGATAGGGAGAATGATGGAGGAGCATAATTGACATCAGCCTTTTAAGTTAATTAATAATTAAGTAAAATATATATATATATATTTTTTCTTTTTTCTAAAGTGTCTATTGGTTCCTAGTCAAAGTATTAGTGTCTATTCAAGACTTTGAAAGTTGTTTTAGTATTTAATAGCAGTCTTAATGAGTCATTTTGTAGTGCCTATAAATATATGAAGAAATGAGATGAGAAGGCAGATTGAGTTAATTAAGATTATTCATAAGTGTGTCTTGCTTGGAGTGAGTGATTCCTCCTTCTACCAAGCGTGTGGCTCGGTCGCGTCGAGTGGCATCCACTACCCCTTGATCGAGTGGCATCCCAATAACTATCCTATCCTAATTCCTTTGTTGCAGGTCTCGGCCTACATCAATAATCCTTAGGCCCACATTGAACTAGAAAAAAGGAATGAATACTTTACATGTCTCAAAAGAGAAGGCCCACATTGAACTAGAAAAAAGGAATGAATACTTTACATGTCTCAAAAGAGAAGCTACATAATTTTAGCATTTTGCTTCGAGGCTCACCTCTAGACAATGTAACCCCAAACACACTTAAATAGATCCAATTTTGATTTGATAGTTCAGATATGGATTTCAAGATTGAATTTGCAAGCTTTGTCATAATAGATTTGAAATAACAATGTAAAACGAGTTATTTGAAATCCTTCACACTAAGGGTTGTAGTTCTACAACAATCCAAATAAAAAAATTCTCTTTCTATCTTTAATTTATCTTCCTCTTAGTTTTCAACCCTCTTATTAAAATAGCTCAATCTCCTATAATTTAATAAAATTTTAACCTCAAATCTCTTAATTTGAAATCTATCATGCAAACATAAACTAGAAAATTGCAAGGCTTATGCCTCATCCACATCCACATCCACATCCACATCCACTATTTCCTTGTTTAACTTTGCTAATTTGCTTCATTGATCTCTAAAGAAACTTTTATTTTTTTGGGGGGGGCTGCAAACTAACCATCAACACATAATGTTTGCTGTTTTCTTATTGAAACAAAACTAATCAAAATGCATATAACCCAATGATCTAAATCGTATTGAAAAACAGAGCCCAAATACTAAGAGATCTCTTTCTCTCGATTTCTTTTCTTCTCTCAACATTCCTTTCAATCCAAACACACTTTGTCTCTATAGCGATCTTTCTTCGAAAGACAACTTAGTGAGATCTAACTTGAACGAAAAATCCTAGAAAAACAATACTTGGAGAATATTTAACATGAAATTGACGATTGAAGAAAAATAAAGAGCACGGCGAATCGAAGACAAGTTTCAGATCAAGAAGGATTCAAACCTAGTCGTTGCTTGCCGGAACAGGGGTGTCGCCACCGCCGGAGGAGGAGGAGGAGGAGGAGCTTTGGAAAAGAAAAGGAAGAACGAGATCATGGTTCATACGACACCGTCAATAACGGTTTTGGAGATGTAAATTTGGGTCTTGCTCTACTAATAATGATCTCAAGTGTTGGTGTACATGATAACAGCATGGACCCCTACCATAAATGACCCCATCATGCTGAAAATAAAAATAAAGGATTAATTACATCAAACCCTTCAATTATTACTTAATACTATTTTATCCCTGTCATTCATAAACTCGTGCATATTGACTCTTTCAACTTTAAAATTTGAGTGAATAACGCTAACAATCCATATAGTTCGGGACTTGTGTCACTTTGGTCCCTGACTTTTCAATTGTGTTACATTTGACAATGAATTTTGAATCTTGTTCAAATAAGGAGAATTAAAGACATTGTCGTTCAATTTAAAGGGCAAAGTTATCAATTTGATAAAATATAAACTAGTTTGACAAAAATAAATGTCAATTTTTTTTTTTAATTTTTAAAAATCATTTCTACCCAACAAAAATGTGTCTTACATGTGACAAAGGGGAAATGAAGGCCTTCGAGAAAAAATATTGGGCTGGGAAGAAAAATGGGGAAAAAGTAAAGTCTAAGTGCATATGGCACGAAAAGGAAATCCGATTTCGGTAAGACTTGACCTGAATCATAGTTCAAATTCAAGTCGGTTCAGTGAGGGCGACCACGAAAGTCATCAAATGGGTCAGTCTTTTCCTTCAGTTTTTCCCATATTTTAAATAAAAGAAAGGCGTGGGAGGACGCTGCAGATGTCCAGAACAGACACGACTTCTAAGGCTAGAAGATCACCGGAAGACACCCGGACCAGAGCATGTTGTGAAAGAAGCACACGGGGCGGGCGTGCTTCGACCGTGTCTCCAGGGCACTATTGAATGGTTAGAAATGAGTAGGGGAGAGTCTTGCATGTGACAAGACTCAAACCCTTGACCTCTTAATCAGGTGCAAGGATTTTGGCGAATTGGACTAGGCCCAGTTGGTTATCAACCACAACTTTATCTTCTCCAATATTCTTAAAGGATAGTAACATCAATTGCACAAGATTGGGGAAAAATCTACAAACATTCAAAACCCTTTGATCTTGAACAAGATTTCACAATCTATATACTTTAATCTAACTAGAAAATGATCCGTGTTCTAGGAGAGTGATTCTCGTAATACAGTTAAAAGTGATTCCTAACCTATGTTTACCACTTTTCTTTCTTCTTCATTTTTTTTTTTTTTTTTACAAGGATGCTTAACCAATTTTGTAGTAGTGCAAAAATTTACCCTTTTCTACAAATCTAAAGGAATGGAAAAAAAAAATAAAAATCTAGAAGAATCCAAAAACCATATCAAATTACAATCTTCCCTCTTCCACTGGCTTAACAAGTCTTTTTTTTTTTTTTTATCATTTTGTTAATAATTCCCCTTGTGTAGTCTAGACCAATCTTCCCTCTTCAGCTGGCTCAACAAGTCTCCTTTTTATCATTTTGTTAATAATTCTGCTTGTGTAGCCTGGGCAGCAATAACATTAATATTAAATTTTTCATAACCTCTATGTTTCTTCTTGGTTACTTCAATTACTCTTTCCAAACATTCCGATATAGTAAAAAGCCTCCCAATTTTGTTTGAGAATGAATTATCCTTTCATATTCAATGGTCTAAAGCAATATAACACATTCTAATCTAAAAAAGGAAAGTAGTGTACAATTTTCCAACAACAAAACCAACTAGCGAGAGTGTATTACAGTGACATTTTGCCAACTAGCATTAACAACAAAACCAATCAAGATAACTGAATGGATTCTAAAATATCTCTATCAACCATGTCAGAGCCACTAAAATGGGCTTCAAAGCAACATGTGTATATTTTCCTTAAGAAACAATCTAGCACGATGACCCCTTGTCATAGTTCTGCAAAAGGTGGGCAAAAAAGAATCAGGTCTCATCAATGTCACTTTTTTCCCCCCATCAATTTCCCTGGTTTTCTGAGAGAACCAACATGTTGACTTTTTCGTTCAAGATAATCCTCAGTAGGGGTGTGCGCGGTGAGGTTTAAGAGAAAAATAGAAACCATACAGCGGGTGGTGTATTGATAAAAGTGTCATTAGAAATTGCCATTGTTCTTATTAAAAACCGGCGGTTCGGTTGGCAAATAATGGTGGTTTCGACTTGGTGGTTCTGGCGGATTGACGGTTTATAAAAAAATATAATTCAAATCACAAAGCTTGAATCAAAGAGTAGAAAAAATCTAATTTATAAATAAACTAAAATAGTCAAAATTAAAAAAGATGTTCATTCATCGAATCTAACATTAAACATTGACAAACTAGTAAACTAAAAATCCAACAATCCAAACAAATTATACAATAACAATTTAATAAGGAAATAAATACTAAAAACATCTATGTCACCTCCACCGTCTTAATCCCCTCCCCAACTCTACAAACAAACACAACACTAAATAACACCTCCACCATCCTAATCCCCTCCCATCTACTTAACCCCAAAACAAACAGGCCCTAAGAGAAAAATTGAAATCATACTGCGGGTGGTGTATTGATAAAAGTGTCATTAAAAATTGCCATTGTTCTTATCAAAAATTGACTGTTCGGTTGGCAAATAATGGTGGTTTCGACTTGGTGGTTCCGACTTGGTGGTTCTGACGGATTGGCGGTTTATAAAAAAATATAATTCAAATCACAAAGCTTGAATCAAAAAGTAGAAAAAATCTAATTTATAAATAAACTAAAATAGTCAAAATTAAAAAAGATGTTCATTCATCTAATCTAACATTAAACATTGACAAACTAATAAACTAAAAATCCAACAATCCAAACAAATTATACAATAACAATTTAATAAGGCAATAAATACTAAAAAAAAAAAATAACATCGTCCAACATCCAACATAGTTTTAAAAAAAGTTCTTAAAAGTTAAAATATATGGAAACTGATATATATATATTTTCAAGGCTAGGATACACATAATTCAAGAGAACTAACAAAAGCAATAAGACACAAATGAACAAACAAGCCTCTCCTTCGTGGATCCTCAGCCAAACTTTCGAAATTTTTCTTCAACAAACTGTCAATTTTTTCTTTCACCAAGCTTCTTTAAAAGTTTGATTCCAAGTTTTTTACTTTTTCTTGTTTGCAGGAGGAAAACATTTCAGCAAAATTATTTTATAGAGATAGACATTGATGAATCTCAGCACAGAGAGAGAGAGAGAGAGAGAGGGAGAGAAACAGAGAGAAATGAGCCACGCACCTGTAGAGAGCAGCGGCGGTGAGTGGCGAGCAGCGGCTGAAAGGCTAACGGCGGTGACGATCGGCAACGTATCGAGGAGGAGCAAAAGCAGAGAGCAGCGTAGATGAATGAGATGAGATGAGATGAGATGTTGAGGTGCGAATTGGGGTTAATTGAAAATTGATGGTGTGTGTGTGTGAGTATCCCAAGCATTTTTCTAAAAGCAATTGCGGGTCGGGTCAGGTCGGCCCGGTTGAATAGGCGGGTTGGGCTTTTCCAAATCACCGCCCACGCTGATGCGCTAGTCCTACAACCCTCACCCGCTCAGCAACCCTGTCAGAGTTGAAAAAATACACTGTTTAATGTGATTCTGTTTGATTTTGACGCTTTTAACGATATCATGCACGCAGGCCCATATTAGACTAGCAAAGCTGAATAAGGCTTATTTTGGTAACATAGTTTTTAATCACTTTTTTTGGTCAGTAGTAAAAGTTAAAAGTTGATTTTTTTGACTTTTTTTCATTTGAAAAGTTGGTTTTTAGCCAACGGTGAAATTACAATTTTACCTCTTATGGGTCAAAATGTGTTACATAGGTGAAGTTATAAATATTTTAAATAAATGAGGATAGTTTGGTCATTTTATTATGATTTGACATCATAAACAAACATTAATCAAAAAATTCAAAAGTCACTTTTTACCAACTTCTCAAATTATTTGTCTAAAAAGCCAGAAGCTTAGTTAAAAGCTAAAAAATCACTTTTTACCATCTTCCCGAAATAACCCTAAATACTTTACACGTCTCAAAAGAGAAGCTACATAATTTTAGCATTTTCCTTCGAGCCTCACCTCTAAACAATGTAACTCTTAAGACACTTAAATAGATTCAATTTTGATTTGATAATTTAGATATAGATTTTAAGATTGAATTTACAAGTTTTGTCATAATAGATTTGAAATAACAATGTAAAAAGGGTTATTTGAAATCCGTCAGGTTGTAGTTTTACAACAATCTAAATAAAAACAATTCTCTTTCTATCTTTAATTTATCTTGGGCAAATTACATTAATGATCCCTATAGTTTGGGAATTGTATCATTTTGGTCCCTGATTTTTCAATTGTGACATATTTAATCTTAAATTTTAAATCTTATTCCAAATAAGAACAATTAAAAATACCATTGCTCAATTTTAAAAGCAAAATCGTCAATTTCATAAAATATAAATTAATTTGCCAAAATAAATGTCACAAAAAATATTTTCAAATTTTTAAAAATTATTTCTAACCACCAAAGATAAAATGTAAAATTGATAAACCTTTTACATATTTATTTATTTTACTAAATTAATTTTTATTATGTGTTTGGATGATAATCATGTAATAAGTGGTTGTTTTTATTTTCATTAAATTAGTTTATATTTTTCCAAAACTCAAATATGGCGACACTTTGATATCAATATTAAATCAATCCATTAAATCAAAAAATTCAAAACTAAAAACATTTCATATATTAAATATATCGATTACATATTAAAAGCCTAACAAATACCCATTACATGATCATCATTCAAACACATAATAAAAATTAATTTGGTAAAATAAATAGCTAAATAAATGAGTAAATGATTTATTAATTTTACATAATTTTATCTTTTGTGGGTATAATTTTTCAAAATTCAAAACTATTTTTTGACATTAATTTTTGTCAAATTAGTTTATATTTTATCAAATTAACGACTTTGCCCTTGAAATTGAGCAATAATATCTTCAATTGTTCTTATTTGGAACAAAATTCAAAATTCAAGATTAAATGTGTCACAATTAAAAAGTCAAAAACTAAAGTGACACGAGTCCCAAACTATAGGGACCGTCAGTATAATTTGCCCATTTATCTTCCTCTTAGTTTTCAACCCGCTTATTAAAATAGCTTAATCTCCTATAACTTAATAAAATGTTAACCCCAAATCTCTTAATTTGAAATCTATCACCCAAGCATAAACTAGAAAATTGCAAGGCTTATGTCTCATCCTCATCCGCATCCACTATTTTCCTTGTTTAACTTTGCTAATTTGCTCTATTTATCTCTAAAGACCTTTTTTTTTTGGTTGCAAACTAATCACCACCACATAATGTTTACTATTTTCTTATTGAAACAAAACTAATCAAAATGCATATAACCCAGTGATCTAAATCGTATTGAAAAACAGAGCCCAAATATAGAGTAATCTCTTTCTCTCGATTTCTTTTCTTCTCTCAACATTCCTTTCAATCCAAATGCACTTTGTCTCTATACTGATCTTTCTTCTAAACACAACTCATTGAGATTTAACTTGAACTGAAAACCCTAGAAAAACAATACTTGGAGAGTATATAACACGAAATTGACGATTGAAGAAAAATAAAGAGCATGGCGAATCGAAGACAAGTTTCAGATCGAGAAGGATTCAAACCTAGTCGGTGTTTGCTAGAATAGGGGTGTCGTTGGAGGAGGATGAGCTTCAGAGAAGAAAAAGAAGAAGGAGATCATAGTTCGTACGACACTGTCAGTAATGGTTTTGGAGATGTAAATTTGGATCTCTCTCTATTAATAATGATCTCAAGTGTTGGTGTGCATGGTAACAGCATGGACCCCCCTCATAAATGGCCCCATCATGCTCAAAATAAAAATGAGGGATTAATTAGATCAAACCCTTCATTTATTACTTAATACTCCCTCCGTTCCCAAATAATGGTTCTTTTTGGGAAGTTAACTTTTTTTTATGGTACAATTATTATATTTTCCCATGCTGCATGAGCACACATCATAAACCCTGGCGTGAAGCATCACTATAGATCACAAAACCACCTCCATCTATAGGTAAGGCAAGGATTGAAGTTGATGTCAACCTCTGTTTAAACTCTTGGAAGCTACGCTCACAATCATCATTCCACTCAAACTTTACCCCTTTCCTAGTGAGATTAGTAAGTGGCAAAGCAATACAGGAGTATCCTTTCACAAACTGTCTGTAATATCCAGCAAGTCCTAGAAAGCTGCGTACCTCTGTCACAGAAGTAGGTCGTGGCCAATCAATGATTGCTACCACTTTCATGCTATTCATAGATACCCCATCTTTACTCACCACATGACCCAAAAAGGATACACTGCTTAACCAGAATTCACACTTCTTAAATTTTGCATACTATCTCTTCTCCCTAAGGGTCTGCAGTACTACCCTCAAATGATGCTCATGCTCTTCCTTACTCCTCGAATAAATTAGAATGTCATTAATAAACACTACCAAAAATTTATCTTAGGTTTAAATACTCTGTTTATCAAATCCATGAATGCAGCTATTGCATTTGTGAGACCAAAAGGCATCACTAAGAACTCATAATGCCCATAACAAGTTCTAAAAGTTGTCTTAGGAACATCATCATCCCTCACCTTCAACTGGTGATAGCCTGACCTCAAGTTAATCTTAGAGAATACTTGATCTCCCTTCAATTGGTCAAATAGGTCATCAATGCATGGCAAAGGGTACCTATTCTTCACTGTGACTTTGTTCGGTTCTCTATAGTCAATACACAATCTTATAGACTCATCATTCTTTTTCACAAACAACACAGGTGGTCCCCAAGGTGAAACGCTAGGCCTAATAAAACCTTTGTCTAACAACTCCTGTAATTAAATTTATAACTCCTTCAAATCCAATGGTGCCATTCTACAGGGCGCTTTAGAAATAAATGTTGTGTTAGGGACCAAGTTAATGGAAAATTCTACCTCACGATCTAGAAGAAGTCTAGATAGATCCTTTGGAAAAACATCAACACATTCACTCACTACAGGCAACTCATCTAACTTTTATTCTAGTTGTTCGATATGCACCACACAAGCTAAGTAACTGTAGACACCCCATTTTTGACCGACCTTAAGACTCAGACATCATCGATTGAGCGCTCGGTGATAATGCATGTCGTGCTCGTTTTGAGGTTTCAGAGTTTTGGCTGAGAGCCTTGCCTCCGGGCCTCTGAACTCTTTGTGTTTCGGCTCAATTTGCGGACCAAGTCTTGTTTTCCTTGCCTAAGGAAGGGAGAGGTCTTGTAGACCATCTCTTAGTGGTCATAGACCACTTTTCCCGTTTGGAGACTAGTTTCCGGTGTTTGGAGTCTTCGGTCGCGCCTTGTCTCGGGACCGCTTAACGTTCTCTGTTTGGCGTGATTTTTGAACCACACCTTGTTGCCTCTGCCTAGAGGAACACTGTGGTTCGGGAGACCACTTTTGTGGTGGCATACAACTTTTGATGCCCGTAGACTAGTTTTCGAGGCTTTCGACTGCGTGCTTTGCCTCTCGATCTCTCGTCTTGCATCCGTTTTGATTTGTTTTTGGTACAAACCTTGTTTTCCTTGTTTGGAGGGTGGTACAAGGGTGGGAGACCACTTTTTCTCCTTGGAGACCACTTTTCTTTCTGCCAGCCAGTTTTCTGGTCGAATAACTGGCTTGCTTGGTCTGTGGGCCACATTTTCTGGTCGGTCACCACACCACTAGCTTTCTTTCATGCCCTGGACTCTCTCCCACCATGGCCGACCAGTTTGTGTCTTGGAAGACCACTTGAAGTGGTCGGCCGACCACTTTAAGTAGTAGGCCGACCATTTCAAGTGGTCGGCTGCTTTTTGGAGATATTTTCCTCCAGCAGCTGGAGGGCATTTGGGCTATCCTCCATACACGTGTATGGAGGGATTTGTTTGAGGCTTAGCTTCTCTAAGAAGCTTTGCCTTTTAGTTTCTATAAGAGGGAGGCTCTATAGACACCCTATTTTTGACCGTCCTCAAGACTTAGACGTCATTGTTTGAACACTTGACGATCATCCATGCTCGTGTTCGTTTTGAGTTCCCGAAGGTCTCGGCTACGCGCCTTGCCTTAGGATCTCTTAACTTGTCTGTTTTGTACTTAGTTGTGGACCAAGGACTTGTGGTTTTGCTTCTGAGAGAAGATGGTGGCTTGTTTGCCATCCCCTCAACCCACCGGCCAAGGCTTGAAGCCATCGGCCTTGTTTTCTTGCCATCAGCCAAAAGTGTTGGCTGGTCGGCACTTTTGTTGGTCAGCCGACACTTGTTTTGGTCGATCGGCCATATTTTTTGGCCGAGGCCTTTTCTTTACCTTTTTTAAGCATTGTGCATGCCAATTGTGCCAGCTAGTGAGCACA